AAATAAAAGCGACTAATAATCACTGAAACATATGAATGAATTATGGTACAGCACAGCCACATGTAGCCCAATTAAAGTAACTAAAATATTAAAAATGAACATTTTTTTTGACAGATGTATCACTGAATCATCCTTCATCAACTCAATGTCTTCTAAATTGTGTCACCTCAGAAAGACTAATGTTATTGTTATTAAAATGAAAGAGCACCATGAATTCAAAGAAGAACTGAAAAGACTAACTTTTAACACTGCTTCATCACAACGCTATTCAAACAGCAGCTGTTGTGTTCTGACTCTGCTGGTTATTCATCAGCAAACCGTGGGAGAATCTGACACAGACACAGCTGCTCTGTGGCCTCAACTCCTTCATATGAACCATTCAAATACAACAAACTTCAGAAAACATTTGACAAACAAATAACAGCTTTAAGTAAGAATTAGTAGATTTTAAATAATCATTTCCACATACTAAGCTTTTATCCAGTTCCCCTGAAACAAAACCCAACAAATCGACCAATCAGACTCCGCCACATGGTGGTGGATACCTATCAGCAACCCATATCTACTGTATTGACCCTCATTTCACCAAAGGACCTCAATCTTTCTGGATACGGTGAGGTCTCCCATCCTAACCGCAGTATGTGGCTCACACTAGCGGCCCTTTTGACTCTGTGTGCCACGGGGAGAAGTGCTGAAAATGTTTCAGAAAGCAGTGCTGAGAAGGAAAAGCATGTTATAGCCAGAGGAAAACTTATGGTGAGTGCTCAGTACTTGCTTGGATGCTTGATATATGTAAGGAGTTTTACTTTAAAAAGCCACTTTCATATATTTGTTTTAAAATGTTTTGGGCAATACAAATACATACACTACCAATCAATAGTTTGAGGTTGGTAAGATTTCAATTATTATTATTTATTTATTTTATTTTTTTAAAGAAGTCTCTTATGCTCTCCAATGCTGCATTTATTTGATCAAAATATAAAAACGGCAATATTGTGAAGTATTAATGAAATTTAAAATAACTGTTATTTTATTGTACTATATTTTAAAATGTAATTGATTATTTTACAACATAATTTCTCCAGTCTTCAGTGTCACATGATCCTTCAGAAATCTTTCTAATATGCTGATTTGATACAGAACCATTTCTTATTATCAATGTTGAAAACAGTTGTGCTGCTTAATATATTTGTGAAAACCATATAAAAAAAATTTTTCAGGGTTCTTTGATGAATATTAAAGGGGTCCTATTATGCTCTTTTTCAAAGTCTTGATTTTGTTTTGGGGGTGTACTAGAACAGGCTCTCATACTAGGTTGTTCGAAAAACACATAATTTTTTCACATATTTTGCAGTAACTTCGCAGATCTTTTTTTATGCTCAAACAGCAACATTACAGACTAACTAAAGTTGAAAAAGTGAAAAAGTATAATAGCACCCCTTTAAGTTCAAAAGAACACAATTTATTCAAAATACAATAGGCCTATTTATAATGTTTTATAACATCATAAATGTCTTTACAGTAATTGATCTATTTAAAATTAAAGCCTGTGTGAAAACCTTCCATAATTTAATGCATCCTTGCTGAATAAAAGAATCAATTTATAAAAAAAAAAAAAAAATAAATAAATAAATAAATATATATATATATATCTATATATATCTTACTAACCCCAAACTTTTGAACATAGATGAATTAAACACTGTTTAATTAAATACTTAAATTAAAAACTCAAAATGCTGTATAAGCTACAATGTCAAGACTTCAAAGAACATTTGATGACAAAGAATAGAGTTACTTGAGTTACAACACTTGTTTTCAGTGTTTTGCTATTGTTAATCTCTCTTCAATCCCTTCCCAGGCTCCTAGTGTAGTGGGATGATCCATAAAGAAGATGCCAGAGCTCTATAATTTCCTGATGGAGCGATGGGCATTGTAGTATCCTGACATTGCCATTGAAATTCACTCTCATTTTCTTGTAATTCCAGTGTTTTCGGGTTTAGTGCTACACTCTTTTTAAAGAATGTTTAAAAATATCTTCCATATTTCTTCCAAGTGGCTCTGGTAAGACAGCATTTGACAGGGACGTAAAAGTTAATGAAATCTTTACAGGCCCAGAGTGCCGTTTTCTGTGCTGCCATATGTTTAAACGCTTAGAGGCTGGTGTCATGCGCTTCATGGCCTCAGAGGTCATTTGTCTGGTGCTGTTAACCTTAACCTGCCATTTCAAGTCACAACCTGGAGTATGATTCAGGAGAGGATAAAAACCCACGCCTGATCTTCTACAACGAGAAGGACGAGGAAGTGAAGGTAAGGACAATGTAATTAATTGACACGCCAATGTCAGTTTTTTCAGCATTTGCATTTTTTCCACTTAGCACTGGAAATTGTAGATGTTTACTCTATTTGTTACTTGCTGAAAAACTGTATTATTCATGCTCATGCCTATGCAAACAAGTGTCACAATCTGTCACAAGAAAACCAATGACATGATGTTTTTTTATTAATATTTTTATTTAAATGTTTTATTCATCAGCTTTTGTTGATTGTTGTAAGAGAAAGAGCAGTATATTCTCTTCATCTTCTCGTTTTGAGTTCCACAGAAAAAAAAAAAAATTTTAACATTTAAATATTTAATATTTAAAACAAACCTGACAAAGTGTGTAAAATAAAAAAAAAAAAGTAGAAATGCTAAAATTTTCAAGGAGGTAAAAAATGTAATTGAGAAAAAAATAAATATTATGGCATGTATTTATAGCAAAACATGTAAAGGCCATTAGGGAAAAAAAAACACCTTAAATGTAAACTAAACATAAGAATAGAATTTTTAAAGTAAAAACAGAATGAACAAAACTATACAAATGTGAAAATAAAAGTGCAAAAAAAACTAAATGATAGATAGACAGATTGACAGACAGACAGATAGATAGATAGACACACAATAAAACAAAAGAATATAAAGAGAATAACTTAAAAATATAAAATGCAAAAACTATAAAAATGGCAAAATGACAAGTGTAAAAAACAAAAATGATTGTAAAATGATTAAAAAAAAATCAGAAAATAAACATAAGTCAAACTAAAATTACTTTAAATATAAAATGTCAAACAAATTCAAAATTTAAATTACATATAATAATAAAATATAATAATAAAATATAAAAAACTATAAAGATGTAAAAACTAAAATGTAATTAATATAAAATGCAAAAACTAACCATAAAAATGAGATCAAATATCTTTCACTTCTCTGACCTCAGGTTGTTCCTGTGAGGAAGATGAAGGCAGATGAGATCAGCAGCTTGCTGGATTCTCTGGGTTTCTATAAGAGGTCACAGAAAGGCGAGGAGGTCCCTGAGGAGTTCAAACATTTCCCTTTAAAGGCGCCCCGGGACGAACTGTGACCCCCGCTGGTCAGCGCGGGGACTGCAGCCTGCCGCCAATGACGTCCAGTGTCTCAAAGCTCCGAGACAGCCGGACTCTGGACCGACACACAGAAGGCTGGAGGCAGTCCTAATCACACACACACACATTTACAATAAACTTCTTACATCTTTGGCTTGTGTGTCGTTGTTTTGTTTGGTTGTGTTTTATTAAAATGTATGAATCTACTTGTTTTTCACACAACAAACCCACTGAAAGATGGCCACTAAAGAAAACACGTGGCAAGTCGTTGAAGCTGTCAGAATAAATGAGAAGCCTAATTGTTGAGTTTTGCATTTCTAAACAAAATAGCTCCTCAAAATGACCGTAGCTGTCAAGAATAAACTAATTAATAATAATTGTATTATATTCAAAACGTGGACCATACAAAACAGCTCTCAAACATTCACAATGCTAATCAGAGTTTCTTTCAAAATACCACAATTACAGTTAATTACTCTAAAAACACAAATTAATATGGGGCACAAACTTAAAAATAAATTGTAAACATAAAAAAATAAATATAATATTGTTTTTATTTATATTTAAATTTACTTAAATTTTCGTATACATTTTCTAAAATT